ATTATCCACTAATCTGGGAGTCACTGAAGCCGGAGAAGGTGAGGATGGAAGGATGAAATTTGCGATCAGCATTGGGACCCTTCTTCAGGTACCTTCACAGTACATATAGAGCATAGTCAACAGAAGCTATTACTATTAAAAGTTCTCAATGCTTGTGGTCCTGCAATGCTCCGCAGCTAAGGTGATTTTTAAAATGTGTTCGGAAAGTCTGGCTCATTTGTTGATAATATGATCTTATACTTGCAGGATGGCTTAGTGACACAATCAGAGTTTCACTGACCGAGCCACCAGAGGAAGAGATAGATCCATGCGGAAGGACGGCTAACCTTGGAACAAAAGCTGCTGAACTTCAGCAAGGGGTGGTAGGATTCGGAAACCTTCATTAATTAGACATGTTTTATCACTTCAAATACCATTATTTTGAGTACCTTTCTTTCTGACACGAAATTTCAAACAGGCATCATTCGAGGAAAAGCAGAGACATTACTTTGATTTCCAGCGTTGATCTGGTCAACTGCCAACACAAAAGGAGGTTAGCCATAAATGCCTCGTGTTCATCGTGTTAGCTGATCCTTTTCCCTGAACTTTTCTGAAAGGTGAATTTATTTCTTTATAGGGTGAAGAGGTGGACTATCGAGGCATCTTGCATCGTGATGGCTCGGTTCTTATGTCGGTTTCCCTGGATCAGTTGAAGGTAATTACTCCCCACCCCCCTGCAGGCAGCAGAGCTCTTATACAAGTCACTTGAATCAAAGCTGGTTGTTGGCATGCCATTTAAGGTCTACTCTAGATCCATTTACCCTATAAAATTGGGTTACACTATGTGGGGTTTCACCTCAACTGTATTGTAATATGTCGATACAGGACTTGGCAACGGTGGACTCAATCATACTGAGGGAGCTTCCACCGGTAGATGACAGCGATGCTGTAAGAAGCTGTTTTCTTGTCCTTTCTCGCACTCTCTTATCTTCGCAAAAAATCGAAACTAACGGACACTATTCATTGTACTATAACCAGAGGCTGGCTCTTAAAAGGTTGATAGACATAAGCATGGGTGTCTTAACGCCTTTATCGGAGCAGTTAACAAAACCGTTGCCTAATGCTATCGTTCTAGTAAACCTTGAGGAATTATCAACTAGAGCGGACAAGCTTTTGCCAGAAGGTGGTGCTGCTTATTTGCTCATATGATATCAATTCATTCACCTTGCAGGTACGCACTTGGCTATATCCGTGCGTGGCGACGAGCCCTACGAAGAGTTGGAAATCCTTAATGACGTTGACGCTTCAGTACTTCATAATGTACCCTACAATGAAGATAAGGCGGCCGACTGCATGCAGCAAGGAGGTAATATAACAATGACTTGATTTGCTTATATGTTATAAGATTAGTGCTATTTCGGTTATGCTAGACTTGTTTTATAATTATGCTTCCACAGGTTATTTGAGTATCTATCGGAGAATTGTCTCGATTTCTCCGTAATCCATATTCAGTTTCCAAATGGGATTCACAGGTAACTAAAAAGCCCCATTCTACTTGTTGGTCAAGTTATGAATAGGTTACGGTTTATAATGTTCTTTTTTCCGACATGCAGGGATGACTTGGTCATTAATGCTGGTGCCAATGCCGGAGCCCTTCTGGTGAATGGACTCGGGGACGGTATCTTATTAGAAGCCCCATATCAAGATATCGATTTCCTCGGAAACACTTCTTTCAACTTACTTCAGGGCTGTAGAATGAGAAATACCAAGACGTATGAATCTTATCTTTTAGTCGAAAACCCTCGACAATCTTTGAAGATACGTCTAATGTGGCATGTGTTCTGGTCGCAGGAGTATGTATCATGCCCATCTTGAGGCAGAACATTGTTTAACCTTCAAGAAATAAGTGCACAAATACGAGAAAAGACGTCGCACTTCCTGGCGTTACGGTAATAACTAGCCTGCAATGTATAGTTGAACATGGAGAAGATAGTTGAGTCGATAAATAATGCAAATTCATTTTGTTTCAGATTGCAATTATGGGATGCATCGTGAATGGCCCAGGAGAAATGGCTGATGCAGACTCCGGATACGTTGGTGGTGCTCCAGGAAAAATTGACCTTTATGTAGGCAAGGTAAGAGCATTTCATCATGCCTTTGCAAATCATCGGGCAGTTCCATGGGAAAACAAAAGGGCTAACTACATAGTATATCACTCCTGTCCATTTTGGTCACTCAACTATTAATATTTTCAAAATCATACATAACGTTACGTTTTAGTTTTATTTTGGTCATCTACCATTAAAAAAGTAACAGAATTGCCGGCGAGTTTTTTTTTGAAAAAAATCAATGATGATATGGCATTACCTTATACTGACACATTAACGTCACTAATAATCTTTTAATGGCGGGTGGTCAAAATGAAATCAAAACATAATATTAGATATGAATTTAAAAATAATTGAGTGATCAAAACATAACAAAAGTGGTAGTTGAAGTATTAAACCAAAAAAAACTAAAAATGCAACAGAAAACATGAATTGTTAGGTAAATTATTTGAACGTAACAAGTAAATGGATTGTGTCTCAGAGTATTGTTAAGCGTGGGATTGCCATGGAGCATGCAACCGACACTCTGATACAGCTGATAAAAGATCATGGGCGATGGGTAGACCCTCCTGCTGAAGAATAAGCCTGCTCATCCATCCAGTTCCATACAACAATAATAATTCACACCCTAGTTGCAGCCACTTAAATGCTTCAAACATGTACGCATTACTTCTCTACATGGAAAACATATATAATTGTGCGTTACTACTACATGGAATGTAGAAGGTAAACTATATAAATTTAGTCGCTGAAGTATGGATAAATTTTTTTCCCTACTAAAATTTTAGAAAATAACAAAATGATCAGTAACGATATTGAAAATAAGAAAACCATCATTGTACTGTTAAACGTTGTTATCCGTATCATGAAAGGGTATTTGAGCTGTCATTTTTTGGTTGCATTGGCTAATATCTTGACGGACCAATTGACTTGCATCGAAGTATACATAATTTTTACATTTATTAACCCTAAATGTCCAATTTCTTAAATCCTAAATTCAAAGAAAGAGAGAATGGAAAGGATCTTAAGCAGTAAAATGACAGAAATGAACAAGAAAGATTTGAAAGTGACAGATTGAAGTTTTTTTTTTAACCTTTTTACTGATTTGCGTAGTAGAGACCGAAGAGGAATAAGATTAACGAACCAACTAGTTTCATCTCACAGCAGCATCAATGCTCTCAAAGCCTATAGGGCTTGGTTGGTCCATAACACTGAACCAAGTTAAAATTGGCCCAATATCTGTAAACGGGTTAATTATTTAGCCTAATACTACACAAAGCAAATTATTTACGGGTTTATGACATTTATTACAGTAACTTGGAACTCGTCAGGACGATATGATGAGTTTTAATAAAACATATTTTTTTATTCAAACTTTTTATCTTGATATGATAAATTCTAATAAAAAAATATTTTATTAGAATTTGTTACATCGATATGATGAGTTTAAATAAAAAATATTATTTGGAAAAATTAATCACATCAACATGACGAGTTTACCCTGCAGTATATCGTTTGTTGTTGATTGTAAAATAAATTTTAAACTGATCTATTGGACAAATTAATTTTTTCGACTGGCCTAACGAGAAAAAAAAAAACGAACCAACCCCACGATGAACAAAGGTAAGACCAGAGCAAACATGAGCATTGTGGCTGGGTTACAATGAACAAAGCCCGAAGTCCATTGTTGGCTCATTAATATGCTCTCAAAGCCTAAGGGATTGGTTGGTCCATAACACTGAACCAACGATATCTCAATGTTCTAAATATGTCCTAAAACAGAAATTAAGATTTTAGACTGAAACAAAAAAAAAAGTTCTAAATACGTCCAAGTCAACTTTTTGTAATAGAGATAATAATTTTTAATGTTACCATGATCACTTTGCTACATTTCAATAATATTAATAACCGTTTTATTACTTCTAAAATTTTAGTAGAAAAAAACATCCATAATGATTATTTATATGATTATATATAAAATTTATTGATCCATAACATATATCAATTATTTGTGATTTTTTAAACAGAAAATTGTTCTGAAATAGAGCTGCAATTCGGAAGGCAAAATTCTTCAATGGACCCATGCACCTATTCATGGAGATGTCGCATTAAACCCTTTCAATCATATTATAATTTATAAGAGGGGCCACAAGCAATTAACTTCATACCATCCCCCATTAAAGAAGATACATTAACAAGAGACAGTTGTCATGAACTATGAATTATTATAAGCAAAAACTTATAAGAATAGTATATGTTGAAATTTTTTATTGATTATTGATTATAAGAATAGTATATGTTAAAAATTTTATAGTTAATACAAATATATCTCATAGACACAATTATTCGAAAATAAAACCAAGTGAGAATAACACCTCTAAATACTAAAGCCAATTGCTAGATTCAAGAGTGGTAAAATAAACTGAAAAAAATAGTCAAAAGGCCCAAACCATAACTCGAATTATTGAGAGAAAAGATTGGATTGATTCTATACAAACCACCTTGATAAAATATTTTTTCAAAAGATTAGAGAATAATACTCATTCGTTGAACCAATTGAAAATTCATCAAATAAACGAAATTAGAAAGGAAAATAAAGTCCAAACATTGGGGGGGGTTTTTCTTGAACAAATGACCAAAAAAGCAGAAAAATAAAACAATTATAGTAAAAACAAAATGGATATGATTGACTAATACTAATAATAGTGTAAAATACACTACTAATGGAAAATGCGACTACAATAATCTAATCTCCTGTAAAAATAGTCTAAAGAATATAGCATAATAAATTCAGTTCGTCAACTAATCACAATAACAAACTAAAATCAAATGCAAGTAGAAATAAATTTTAATATAACCTCTTCTGATCTCTTGTTTGCTTTAAACTGTATAATATCCGCCCGGTCTTCTTCTTCAGAGAAGTTCTGCCCTGGCGGCGTATCCATACTGAGATCTCCTGATGTTATCTTGTCTCTTCTTGTAAACCAACCCACCGACAACAACCAAACACGCTGCAACAACCACGGCAACAACGATTCCCGCTTTTTTTCCACCGCTCATTCCTCCACCACCGCCGCCGCCGGTATTCTCTTCGCCTACGTCTGCATTGACGTTGCTGTGGTTGATATCGCTGGCTTCTTCCGGTGAAGGAGCAGGAGAACTCGGAGACGGCGGTGAACCTCCTTGTTCAAGATCTGATGGAGATGGCGCCGGAGGAGAAGAACCCAAAGCCGGTGAGATTGCTGGTGGAGAGTCAGGAGTAGGCGCGAGATGCGGAGGCAAGTTCGCTCCGAGTGAAGGCGGCAGTGACGGTGAATAGTCGGCGAAGGCGAGTTGAAGAAGTAGGAAGAAAGCAATGTTAAGGGAACAGAGTTTAGCCATCTCAGTAGATCTGGCGAAAATACTTGAAGAAGAGAATGCAGTTGAAAAGATAAAGCAAGGGAAGTTTGAAAAAGAGAGAGAGAGGGGGGAGTATATATAGATTGGAGTAGATTTAGGGAGGAAAATTATTTATTTATTATTTGCATCGAGAGTGTGGGACGGAGTGAAATACTGAATTTTATTTCTTTATTTACCTATCAACAAAATTACCTTCATAAACATGGGCTACCAATCTCAAATCCACGGTAATTAATTTTAGGGTAAACTACCGACTTCGTCACTCAGCTATTATGTAGTTTTTATTTCTGTCACTCAACTATTCTTTTTCAAAATTATATCGAATGTAACGTTTTGATTTTATTTTGATAAATCAACGATGATATCGATGTGTCACCATAAGATACTATCATATCAGAATTAAAAAAATAAAAAATAATCTCAGTATCATTGTTAACTTTTTAACGATGATTGATTAAAATAGAACCAAAACATAACGTTAGATATTATTTTGAAAAAATAATTAAGTGATCAAAACAAAAACTAAATAATAGGTGAGTGGCCAAATAGATAGTTTACTCTTAATTTTCTATATTAATTGGTGTTTTATTTTTTAAAAAATAAATATATTTTATTGACTTACAATTAGGTATATATCATGAGTTTAAACATGTTTATATCTAATTTAATTAAAAGAATCAAACAATCATGTTTGAAAAAAAATTAAAAATATACTAAAAGAATTATTTTTATTTTATTAAAAATGATAATATAATAATAATAATAATAATAATAATAATAATATACTTTAAATTAAATCATAATTATTTTATTTTCAAGATGTTAGCTTTTTTTTTAAGTTAAAGATGATAGTTTTTTTCTGATTAATCTCGAGTAAGTACAAGGTTATATCTATTCAAATATAACACTTAACATTTCGACATTGAACGCTCACACCCCTAGCATCTTTGGTGTAACACCCATCTCCTGTATACTTTCCGTACACGAGATAAAGATGTCATATCACTTTGAAACAGTTTTTCCTTTGAAATTCCGTAAAAAAATGTTTCTTTTTATAAAACATTATAATTAAAACTAATATAAAACTAATATCACTTTGAAAAATTGTTCCTTTGAAATGTTCGCACTTCATCATTTTACATCAGTTTAGATAAAAAGGCTTTTCAGAGCGTGTTTACTGAATCTAATACATGCCAGCTAAATACATCAAAAGTAGACATGAATGTCTTACTGTTACTAATGAGGCGAAACTTGCTTGATGATGTCCAAATATCTCCTTACTTCGGTAGTATCCAAACCTACGTGTGAAATCAACACACGTTAAGTAATTTCTTAGTGAGGCATACTTAACCATAAGCTAACTTATAAACATAAGTATAGCATAATAATTCTAACATCGATTAACTCTTTTTAATTTATTATAAACCTTATAAATTGCACCCTTAGTGCTAAAATGGTAATTTACCAACTTTCTATTCGTGTTCATTTATTAAGATGCACACGTAGTGCCTGTACGGTTATTTATCAGCTCATGATGAATTTTGTGGTTTTGCTCACTTAGTGCCTGTACGGTTATTCATCAACTCATGATGAATTTCGTGGTTTTGCACACTTAGTGCTTGTACAGTTATTCATCAACTCATGATGAATTTCGTGGTTTTGCACACTTAGTGCCTGTACGATTATTCATCAACTCATGATGAATTCTGTGGTTTTGCACACTTAGTGCATGTACGGTTATTCATCAACTCAAGATGAATTTCGTGGTTTTGCACATTTAGTGCTTGTACAGTTATTCATCAACTCATGATGAATTACGTGGTTTTGCACACTTAGGCCTGTACGGTTATTCATCAACTCTTGATAAATTTCATGGTTTTGCACACTTAGTGCATGTACGGTTATTCATCAACTCATGATGACTTTCGTGGTTTTGCACATTTAGTTCCTGTAGTACACGTAGTATTGATATACAATTGCAACATATATTTTTAACAATATTTATTTATAACTATTGATGTATGAAGATACTAATTTTTTACCCATATTATAAATATTATTATTATTGTTATTATAATAATTATTATTATTATTATTATTATTATTATTATCATTATTATTATTATTATTATTATTATTATTATTATTATTATTATTATTATTATTAAATATATTAAATACATATATAAATAATATTAAATTACAAAGCCCAATCAACCGGCCCAAAACCCAAACCAAACTGAAACCCAAAACATTTAGGGTTTCAGTTAGGGTTTCCTAACCCTAATCCTATGCTCAGCCGCCTCTAGCCAGCCACCTCAGACTGACCGTTGGATCTGGTATGATCCAACGGTCCAAGAGCCTCCAGATGGAAACCCTAGGGTATGATACCCTAGGGCCACACGGCCGCCGCTGCCACGTCCCAAACGAAGGCTCCAGAAGCTCCAACGCCAGCCGTCCACGCCATGGCTAAGGGGTGAGTCACCACTGGTAGTCCGGTGACTCACCGAAACCCCCTCTTCGGACCGGTCCGATGGCCACACCGGTGGTGGCTATAAAAGCCACCACCCGAACCTGCAAGAAAAAAAAAACGGAGACAGAGACAAAAAATAGAGACAGAAACAGAGAGAAGAGAAATACAGAGAAACAAAATAAAAAAGGCTACCAACGATCTCAACAACAACGTAGAAAAAAAAAACAGAAAGGAAAGAAAAAGGAAGAAGAAAAACTTACCGAGGAAGCCGACCACCGGATCTCACCAAAACCTTCGACAAACCGAAGGTATATTTTTTAGATTTGCTCCGATCGGAAGCCGTTTAAAAGAAAAGATTATCGGAACCGTCATTAGGACAGTCTGATCTACATTTCAGTGTAAAAAAAAATATTCCGGCCACCGGATGTGGTGGCCGGCGGCGGACTTGACGGTGGCCGGCGGCAGAAGAACACCGGTTGACGGTGGCCGGCCGGCTGGCTTCTCTCTGTTTTAGAGAGAAGCGAGAGAAAAATTCTCTCTCTCAGAGAAGAGAGAGAGAGGAAAAATAAAGAAATGAAGCTGGCCTTTCGGGCCAGCCGGTTTTGGACCTTATATAAGCCTTCCCGAACGACGTCGTTTCGGGAAGGACTATGCGCGTAATTAGATAATAGTTAAACCCCGTCTGCCGTCCTCCGAACTTGTAAACTTTACATTTTAGTCACTAAATTGAATTCATAATACTTTTAATTTGATCTTGAAATTTTAATTTTATTTATTTTAGTCCTTTATATTAAAATAATATATTTAGGATAAATAACAGATTTAATCCCTTAATTTTAATAAATAATATTTTAATCCCTAGTTTATATTTTTAATTTATTTTATTATAATATCCGAATTTTAGATAATTTTATTTTAGTCACTAAATAGATAAAATAAAGAAATAGCATGTTTAATCCCTAATATTTTGATTAATTATGAATTAGGTTTTTAATTTTACTTTTACTAAAATTTAGTCATTTATTTTAAATATTTTTAGCATTTTATTGTGTTTAAATATATAACTCTAATGGTATTTTTATTTCAATTTTACTTGTTTATATTTTTAAATATTTTTATGTATTCCTAAATATATATATAATAAATAGTAATTAATTTTTTTAATATTTAATATCGAAGAAAAGGACAATCTTAATACAACTGGATGTCCTATTCTGATATTTTAAAATTAAAAATTAAACAATATTATTTAAATTAATATTTATCAATATCAAAGAAAAGAGCTGTCTTAAGGCACCTAGAAGTTCTTTTCTGATATTTTTAAATAAATAAATATTTTTTTATATAATTTTGAAATAATAGGATTATAAATTAAATATATTTTTGAATTTTTAAATTTTAATAATGGAGACAATTTATAATTAAAAAGTACCAATTTTGGGCGTTGTAGGGGTGCTAATCCTTCCCTAAACGTAACCGACCACGAATCCCTTTTTATTATTAAAAAAAACGAATTTTTGGTTATAAACGCAGATCAGTTAATTTTTTTTATTGATGTTTTCTTAAAACTCTTTTAAAGAAAATAATCTTTAGGTATTCGACCTACCTGATCCAAAAGGCCGATGGCGACTCCCAAATTATTTTCAAAATTATTTATTCACATCAATTTCCCTGCCAAGTATAATATTTCGTGCCCGGACAAAAACCGGTTACGACAGCTTGGCGACTCCGCTGGGGACCGGTCAAACTTTTAAAAATCAATTATGGATTGTCTCTATTAATTAAAAATTAAAAATTCATATATTTAATTTTTAATTTTATCTTTTCAAAATTTTTATATTTACTTATTATTTTCATAATATTTATATGTTTTATTTTATTTGCAATTATTTTATTTCATTATTTATTTTGCTGTCAAAGGTTTGAGCATTTCTCCTCACACACAACACGTGCATTGCATAACATAAAGCTCTATAATTGAGTTGTCCCTTTTAAGTGAGAGTGAAAGCGACGTCTTCGTGAGAATTTATTCTCCGTGTCAGACCTAGCAAGTAACTTTCGGGGTTCATATGCTCTATGTCTTCGTGAGAATTTATTCTCCGTGTCAGGCATAGAGAAATGTATTCCCTCGAATTGAACTCGATCCACTTTAGTCTGTGATGGACTAGGATTCAGGGTTAGCAACCCAAGGGGGCACTAACAAGGACAATTCGGGTACCTTTATTCTTAGATCTGAAACCCTGCATATAAAAAACCTTAGAAACTCTTCCGATCCGAAGTCATGCCAAAATTTTGTCTAAAATAGGTGTACACATAGGAGAAATGAATTCTAACTTTCTTGTTTATTTATTTTCTTTACTGATTAAATTACATATATATTTAAATTATTTAAATTTAGAAAAGCATGTTTAAATAAAAAATATTTATGTAAATGTTATTATTGAATTTCTTTATTATGTAAACTAATTCATTTTCTTTTTGTGTGTTCTTTATTTTTCTGTTTGCATAG